CTACTGTGTGTATGTTTGAAGATAATGATGTATGTGTATAGTAATATTTTTGTGTCATACTGCCACTGGCTATATATGAGAAACTGACCAGCTATTCTTCTTTTCATCTTGCACTTTTTATACTGAATAAACTGCCATTTCCATACCCTTTGCTGTATATGAGTTATGCACAAAGGGTTATGTAAAATCTAAAATAGATTATTTTAAACTTGGTATAGTTTCGTGTAAAGCTAAGACCTCTCTTAATAAAATTTTAAAATACTGTTGAAATAGTGTTGAAATAATGTTGAAAAAAACCCCAAAAAAAAAACGGAAAAAAAACACGACAGACTGTAAGTGAGTACTTGAAATAAACTAAGACAAACATCTCTTTGTCATCAGTGATTTATTATTTGATGTTTCCCTGTAGAAACACCTGGACTGATCAAGTAAATAGAGAAAAAAAACACATACATTCAGATAACATGAGCACCTATTTGTTAAATTCTTCCATTCCAAGTTCCTGGCTTTATACAGCACAATTAAAGATGATGACAAGGAAGTAGAACAAGGCAGGTCCAGCAACCTAATTAATCAGTGTTTACAGTCGACAAACTACCAGAGATAACAGAGTGGAAATCTGCACCACATTTTTTGCAAAAATAACTGGGGTTTTCCACCTTTGCCACTGAGAAATGTGTTGCCCTCACTCCTGAGTAAAAGCTATATTATTTACTATGGAATTGTATCCCTTGTCTAAAAACATAATACTGAAACAAATGAAGTCTCACCTATGGATTTTGTATTCATTTTACTCCTTTGGCACAAAAAACTAATATTCTCTGGTTCTTTTAAAAAAATTATGGGTTTAAAAGGAGCTGAAGCTACAGCAAAGGAGAACAGTGAATATGACTATTCACTCCAAATTCACCTGCATTATGCTGAACTGAACTGAGTTCATTAGACATGGATATTAGAAATATGAATATGAAAAGAAGCGCTAAATTTAAAACATTAAACACAGTCAACTTGAACTAGAACAAATTTATGTCAATCATTCGCAACAGGCAACACGGATGAAAGGAACATACAGGTGAATGTATCAAATCTATATATTATATTTACAACCAAACCTAAAATTATTTTTAAGTCTAATGATAAATTTTCTACAAAAATTGCATAACCATGTGCTCTCTTAACATGTAATTTTCTTAAATATGCATATTCTTCATATTTTCTCGCTTCTCGTCTCACGAATTGAGTTTTGCCTATGATAAATACCCCTTCCCTCTCAAACAAACAAACGAAAGAAATACATAGAAAACTCAAACGCCACGCCACATTGTATCCTACCAGTGATATGCCGGTGGAGAAAGCTACCCGGTTTTTACCTCTATGGGATGGTCTTTGAGTTTTGCCTCTTTAAGGCACACTCTCAAAGTCTCCCATTAAGTTTCTCAGCTGTGTTACAAACGGAGAATAGTTCTTGGCAAGAGACACCAGTAGGTACTGTTCAAGTCATCAATGAATAAAGGTTGTGTTCAAAATACCATTAAGAATCTCAACATTATAGAAAATGTTCCATCTTGAAACTGTGAGCAAAGGTTGGCTGACCTTTTGCACTTGGTATGTTTAGAGTGTGATCACGTCCAATTCTAGGACATAGAATAATATAGCATAATATATGAAGTGAATATTGTGGGTGTGGGTGTACTTGTCCCTGCCTATAGTTCTTGCCTCATCATGGACTGTCAGAGGTTTTCGCTGCTTCAGCCTGGGTGTCTGGGGCTTTTCCTAAATCGTCACCCTTTTTATGTTTCCTAGCATGTTTATATTTGTCCACATATGCCTTAACCAGATTTCCAACTTTCACTGGGTTGATTTCTCCACTCTTGCTGTGGCACACCTGAGAAAAAGATCATTTCAAATTGTTAAAAGAGACACTGAGAAACTCCTGAGTCACACCTTAAAAAAACCTGTTTAAGCAAATAAAGAATTAAAAAGAATTTCATCATCATCATATTTTTCTAACCCACCTTCTGGACAGCTTTGCGAAGAATCTCCTTGTATTCATCCTTGTTGATATCTCTCCTTTGGTAGAAAGGTTTGATAGCTAGCTTAACTTCTTCTATCGCTCTCTCCTGCATGTGCAGTTTTTTCAAATACTGTTAGGAGAAATAGAATCATAATTTATGCAATGACATAATTTTTTCCACACGTTCATTTTGAAACTAACATTTGTGCATGCTTTTGCTTTCATTCGAACTACAAATTGTTTGACAAATTCGTTCTTCAGTATAGGAAAATGTGTGAAAATTAATTGCACAAATGTTCCATGCTGCAAGGAACATTTGTGCAATTAATTTTCTCACATTTTCCAAAGTGTTATCCAAGCAAGCCCAAACATGAAGCATGGTGTCACAATTTTTCTCTCTCTTTCGAATTTGGGGGGCTGGCCAGAGACGTGATTTTGCACC